CAGGCTACAAATGAAAAAAACATATAACATCTGTCTTCTCTTAAATGCATTAAAGACGATTCCACTAACATCAATTAAATCGGAAAGGGCATTCTCGGTAGCAGGACTTTACATTACTAAAATAAGAATCAGATTGAGTGATCGGAGTATTGACCATTTTTGATTTTTAAAATCTTATTATAAAAATTTACAAGAATATTTTGTATTATGTTTTATTTAAAAAACGAAAATTAGCTTTTAAATGACAACGGCTCAGGCACCGCCATCGATTTAACTCTTATCACTACCCAGTACCGGCCCGAGGCAAGTTTTAGGATGGAGCGAGATCCTATTATGGTGACCCCCTTGACTGCCCCTAATTTATACCCTTTAATTTTCTTTAACACTGAGGCACCCCCTAAAACTTAGCGCCTAGAGCGGCTGCTCCGTTCGCCCTATGGTAGGGCCGGCTCTGTCACTACCGACATCGCACTCCAAGTGACGTGGGACTCTTACTCTTAAGATTATGGTAGCAAGCACTGCATGATCACTGTTGGTCTTCCTCTCACACGCCCTCACTACCCTAATCATCCCCGTAACAATAATAACTAGGACTTCTACACGTCCAAACCCGACAAGACCAAAACTTGTCAACAGACTGACCGGAATGCTCCCACGAATAGCGTAAACGCCATGAATACCTTGGTCGTCTGGGCGGCACATAATAATTGGATCTATGATGACCTCGTCCAACGATATCACAATCTGTTCGCCATGCGGAGGAATAACAGACTGAGCGACCGACCTCCTAAACCCCGTGGTGGAACCCTGACTGTCAAAGAGCGCTTGCATCCAAGCGCAAAGCTTCTCATCGATACCACAGACACATCAACCGAGACAATTGGATCCAAGCCAAAAAAGCCACAGCGGAATTACAAAGCTGAATCATCACCCAGAAGCGAGCTTTTGGGGAACGCATGGCGTCCTCTCCCCTTTACAAGAATAACATATAGAGCATCCTCCATCGCCTCCGCAACAGTAACAACTCCCCCCAAGCCACTTCGTCCTGCGGCACGCCTACTGTACCCTAATAACCCGAAAGATCAAGCGGCCAAATTCCTCAACTTCTTCATCCCTCATTTACGGGATCAACATCTGATCATCAGGCGCCCAAATAATACTGCATACCAGCAGAACTCTTACAACCACCCCTTCACTAATGGGAAGCTGGATAACGCAATAAATAGAGGACAGAACACGACTCCTGGGCCGACGGCATCACGACAAGCATGCTAAAAGTTTTCGAAGATCAGGCCAGAGACCACTATTGGCGGTCTACAACACCATATGGTCGTCGGGCACCATACCACCGAAGATGAAAAATACCATCATCCTCCCCATTCACAAACAAGGTAAAGACCCGACTATGGTCGAAAACTATCGACCAATAGCACTTACTTCCACGGTCATGAAAACGATAGAACGGATGATTCTCGTCAGATGGCAGCGTACAGCTACTCACAATAATCGGTTCAATTATAAGCACTTTGGCGGCTTTCCCGGTAAAGGTACTCGGGACTTATTAACACATCTCATGTTACAACTATACAGTACCCCCTCCGGAATAAAGGTTACTACATCAACGTTACTACTCTCGATATTTGCAGTGCTTACGACAAAATCAATCACTCTCATATTATCCAGAAGGCTTTAGAAAAAGGCCTAAAAGACAACTCAATTCTCTGGCTCCAAGACTTCCTGTCCAACAGGCAGGTACTGTATAAATCAAATGGAGGAGCTTCCTCTCTCCTAGCAGTACCCAATGCGTAGGAATCCCTCAAGGTAGTGTGATCTCCCGCTTCCTGTTTGCCATCTTTATGAATGACATCTTTCAACTAGAAAATGAATACACTAAAATCTATGTCTACGCAGATGATGTTACTGCCGTCACGCATGGTGCTGAACCGACCCATTTACATCATAACACGATCCAATTTTTAAACAAGTTCGGCAAATGGTCTGAAAAAAATTCAGTTCCGTGCCAACCACGGAAGTGCGCGATCCTGCGCATACCCATTAATATTCGAGGCAACCAGGATTTCGTCCTCAATAACCAACAAATCCCCGAGGTCTCCAAAATCAAACTACTTGGCGTCTACATTACTGCACGTCTTACATGGAACACCCACATCCAATACATTCGGAACAAGAGCAGAAAGTTTCTGAACATCTTTAAAATTTATTGTAACAAAAAACACGGCGGCCAGCCAAAGGACCTCTTGTGCATCGCCGACAGCACTATCGGCAGCTTACTCATGTATGTCGTCCCCAGCATCACAACCTTAACTAAAACCCTGATGGCAACCCTGGAATCTTACAGATGCAGTACGTTAAACTCAGCTATGGTCTCCCTATGACCGCTAACAACATTCTTACTCACAGAGCGACCAACACCACAACCATAGCTTGCCGCTACAGGAAGTAGGTAATAAAACATTATAGTTCGTACCTCCAGAAGGCTTCGAGGGACAACTTCTCTCAGAGAATTATACATCTCATTCACAGCAATGAAGGTGCCGCCCTTGTGAAAATTCCTATAGCCCATTACATCCGGAACTGGACAGACAGTCATAATATCCCCTCCGATAATCACACAACCCAAAACTCTATACCCTCCGATGCACCGTCTTCGACATACACATCGACGACCTTCCATTCCAGGACTCCTCTCTACCGAATCACGTTATTCAATCCATCTTCTATGAGTGGACAACGGTACAAGACCTCTCTACTTTCCTGGCCACCGACGGTTCCAAAACCGACACGACTGTCACGGCAGCGTTCACCGACTACACCAACAACACCAAAGCCACTTCATCCCGAGGCCACCATTTTTACGGCGGAGGGATTCGCTATTCTTCGCGCGCTACAACATGCTACTAAGACAAACAGCAACATCACCGTGTGCACGGACTCTCAAGCTATCCTTACCGCCATCAACGCTCACCACGATAAGTATCCATCCATCATCCACACCATCATAAGTCTCATCAACAGACGCAATAAAAGTAATCTACAGACGCGTCTCGTTTGACCCCAGCTCATAAAGGGATAACTATAAACGAACAAGCGGACAAACTTGTTAAGAGTCAGCCTTACGACACCAAGAAAACCCGTTATATTACTCCGGAGGATTACATCAGCATTATAAACACCGAAATCAAACATCAAATGGACAACGAATGATATATTTTTCCCAGCCATACAGACTATCAATGGCTCATCATCGACCGTCACATCACCGTCATGGACTATACGGACCGATACACTACTATTCTGATTCATCGGGCCAGAACTAATTCCCTCCTCCATAAACGTAACCTGAAAAATACTGATCACTGAACTTTCTGCCCGACAGAGCAAGATACAATGATACATCGGTTAGATAACTGCTATCAATTTGAACCCGTCCGGAAAAAAATTCTAAACAATAACAGTATCATTCGTCACAAAATCTTTAAGATAAGCGATTGTCTAAAATTTAAGCCCATCGAAATTTGTATACAAAGTATGATCACCTTTTTCACCGTTTACAAGTAGACCTATAAATACTGAGGAAAATATTACTACCGCCATCTCTCACCACCACGGGGCGCAATAGTCTGTGTAACTGAACTTGCAGCGTTGCCAGATTTGGCTACTTTGCGCCAAATTGGGCTACTTATTTTTCAGTTTGGCGTTAAAAAAAAAGCATTTGGCGCACTGGCTACTTTTTGGGCTACAAAAATTTGACTTGGCTACATTTTGGGCTGGTTACACAAATTATTTCATCCTTTGTTTTGCGCACTGAACGGTAATACTTGTTGTGCTGTCTACTCGTTTTGTTTTTAAACATAGAATAATTTATATAAGTTTTATAATTTATTTATTATTGGTATTAAAATGGGAAAATGGACAAAGTATTCTCGGTCCTTTCGGAAAGAATGGTTTCAAGACAAAAATCTTAAAGGTGCTTACCTTTAAGATTTTTATCTTGAAGCCATTCTTTCCGAAAGGACCGAGAATACTTTGGGGAAATTTTCCTCATTAAGTTGCATTTTTAAATATTTTGGCAAATGGCGTAATTTTAAATTTACTTAATTAAATTTAAACTTTTTAAAAAGATAGCTCCAGTAAGTATTCAGTCATGCTTGACAGGAGACTTTTTAGTTTATAATAGCTTATTTTTTAAAGAAAATTTAATATAAATTCCAGATAAATGATATCCTAGAAAGAAAGAAATAAGAAAAGAAAATGCATCTATAAACAAAAATGACTAATGGTAAATGCTATGCTATACGGAATGGTACCAAACATGGTTACTAGGGCGTAATTTTTATAAATTTTAATTGTTTTTGATAAAATTAGTAACAAATAACGTTACGCTAATTGCAACTGTTTGCCAATGTCAGCTTCTTGTAAATGTCTTATATAGTGTTACATGTAACATACAAAATTCATATATTACAAGAATGCTATTATTCCTCAACAACAATCAAATGAGCAAAATGAACATGAAGTACTAAAATTTGAAATTATCACGTTGAAAAATCACTGGTAAGATCATCATCATCAGAATCTTTTTCACTAGAATGTTTTTGTATGGTTGAAGCAGATGATGATTTCCAAGTTTAACATTTATCGCTGTAAGAACTCGATTTTGTAGTTTAGTTTTCATTAAATTTAATTGCAAAAAAATACGTTCAACTGCTGCATTTGAATGAGGAAGCAATAAAAACATCTATTTACTGTCAAAGTAAAGTAAAAAAATACAGAAATATAGAATAAAAATGAATGTTTTGAAAGGAAAGATATTAGGATTTCATGAATGGTACTAGGAAAATGGTGTTGGGTATCTTGGTACTGGGACAAGTAAAAAGGTACTAGATTAGTACAAAAGTACTAGGTAGAACAACACCTTGTACAAAAGTAGCCAACTGCTCGAGCAGTTGGCTACTTTTGGGCTACTTTTTAAAAATTATTTGGCTACAAGGGCAAAGAACATCTGGCAACGCTGAACTGAAGTCCAACGACTATGATGAGATAAGACAAGGCAAGACAAGTCCAACGATTACGATAAAACAATGTTTATATGTATCTTTCGCCGTATTAGGTCTTTTGATTAGGTATTCTGTTTTTTGATAATTTCAACGTTATTTTTAATTCGTTTACATCTTTAACTATTTTATTGTTAATATACTTAACGCTAAATGCTTATTGGATCAGTGTAACATGAAAAATCAGTAGAAGTTACTTTTAGCTTTATGCGTATATATGTTTATAGACAATTTTTAACTAAAAGTAACCTCTACCGAAACATTATAAATCAATCTCTTGAAAATATAATTTCAAATCGAATTAATTACTTGTAAGAATTGTCAATAATAACAGAAATATATCGTTTTAAACGTAATCTATATCAATATTATTCTTCTATCCGGAGCTTTAAATTTGATAGTGAGAGGGAAAAAACTTGACATATTTTTCCTACATAATTTTAGTAATGATTAGGCTACTAAAAATGGCTGTAAAATCTTGTTGCCAAGAATGTTGATTTTTATCAAAAATATCTTGCGTTTAATAAATTCACAATTATATTTTGTAATGGCATGTGGTTAATATTTTGATGGTAACAAGTATTGAGTTTACACTGGCAACTAAAGCTAAAAAAAAAGTGTGTGTGTATATATATGGTACCGTAGAGTCTCGAAAACTCGGCCTAATGTGGACCGAAGGGTGGGCGAGTTTGTGAAAATGCCGGGTTATCGAGAATGGGGTTAAAAAAAATAAGTATGAGTGTTTCCTCAGAAAATACTGTACTGTACTTGTATGTATTGTTTACTTGAGAATACAACAGAGAATAAACTGCCCAAATACCCTTAAACAAAGGAAAAGTACGTCCTTTNAAAGTAATAAAATTTAGACTTCTATATTTTATGCACTTCTATTTATTTATTTTTAATGATTCTTTTTAAATGTTTAGTGAACAAGCATTTTTAATGTAATCTACTATATACAGTATTTATATATATATACAATATATCTGATGATAGAGCATTCACATTGTTCAAATAGAATCATTATTTATGAGTAAAATAAATAAAAGTTTTATTGACAGTTTTTTTTAAATTGGAAATGGAGATGTTGAGGCAAATTTATATTTGCCAGTTATTGTTAGTCATGAAGCTGCCTAATCATCAAGGTCAATAGACTACTGGCAATGTTGCATTGAGCTTGCTGAAGAATATGATTGGTATGTGAAAGTGTTGTGTGTTCTCATGACTTGCATTACATTAAGGACAAAGACAGACTTAAATTATTTATTCCTGAAAAATTCTTACATGTAAATAAACAAAAAATTTCAGAAAAAGTTTACACAGCCTTTATATGAAAACGCTCACTAATAAAGGAATTCCTTGCTTTTTTAAAATTTCAAAAAGAAAAAGGATAATGTTTTGAGAAAATCAGTAATCTATATATAAATATAAAAATGGACATGTATGTCCCTATATCTCACTTTTTCGCCAAAACTGCACATCGCACATGAATGGTGTTTGTATGTGGTGGTAGCCCCAAGTCTCCATTCGTGCATAGGGGTGGTTGCGTCTCGATAGCTATAAGGGTGCGGGAGATATGAGGCTGAANATGCTATATTAAAATTAAAGTATTTACACATCATCATCTTCATTGGGTAGTCTGTTTAAAAACATATCACTATATGAAGCAATAACCAAACAAATATTGCTGAGAAATCCATTACAGCCTAGATCCACAAATTCTAATATATCCTAATAAAATTTAATTATATAAATGTTAGACAATTAAACAGAAAAATCATTTTTAAAATTTATAAACATATATATTTACAACTGGAATATTTAAATAAGCATCTGAAGGTCTCTCTTTTCCGTCCGCAACAATTTCACCGGATTGAAATTTTATTTGATGTTCTAATTCCATTAAATCTTCATCTAACTTCTGTTTTGCACTGAAAACAATTTAAGAAGTTACTCTTAATTAATTAATCATTTTAAAGGTATATTTTATTTATAAAATTATAAAAATTAACTAACTGAGCTAGAAATTCCTGACAAAGCTGTTCAGCAGGTTCTTTCAACTGAAGAAGCAAATCAACACATTCTGCTAATTGTTTAGGTGAAGCCTATCAATATTTATATAAATATTTAAAAATTATATATATAATTATAAAAATGTTTTTAATATTAAAAATACTACACATTAAAATGTAGAGAATGACCAAAAAGTATCTAGTAAGTTTACTGCTTTATTATAACTGAATGACAAGCTATATTAATTTTATTCAAATATCATTCATCTAAACATTTAATAATAAAACTTTGTATGAAGTAATAAACTGACAAAACAGAGAAAAAGTTCTCTGTCCCTTCTGAATTCAGAGATAATTAAAACACTTAAATTAGGACAAGGTAGTAATTCTAACTCCATTGAAAGTTTTTTAAACTTTTATCATTTTTATGAAAAACAAGTTATATGTATTAATAACAAATCAAATTTTATTTAGCGTACAGATTTATTACTCATTTGACAAATCATGAGAACACAAAACGTATAATTAAAAATTTTTATTTAGAAAATAATAAGTTCTAAATCAAACTTTAGAAGTTTGTCATCATCTAAATCTGGTTTTTTGTTATTTTATTATGTTTTGGTTAAATTCCAAATCCTTGGCAAAAGCACAACACAGCTACTATGAAGTTACATAATACAATAAAATAAACAGTAATGAAATCACAAACTTTCGGTTAAACAATATACTGTATTTAAAAAAATGCTAACTTTTCAAATTAAAATTTTTAATAATTTTAGGATTAATATTTGTTTTTTATCTATTTGATTGATTAAAAATTCTTTCAATTTTGCTAGATATACCTATTTTTAGAATGTCATGTTGAGATCTTCGGTTCCATCAGGTAAAATCAGCAAAGTAATTGTATGTGGTTATCAGTCTACTGGCAAAACATCCATTTTAGAACAATTAATATATGGAAGAATAAATCAGGTCAAGTATATATTATTTTATTAAAGTTATTTATTATTTCAATAATTTATAACTCATTATTTTTATAGAATATTCACTCAACAATTGAAGATGTATATTGTGCACATATTGACAATGATAGAGGGGGTAAAGAAAAAGTTCGTTTTTATGACACAGCTGGAATGGTAAATTTATATATATTATAATTTAATTTTGATAAAGTATGTTAATGATTAATGAAAATATATAAATCTTTTATTGTTTAGAATTCTACATTCCATGAAGTACCTAGAGCATATTTGCCTTATGCTGATGTAAGTAATTTTATATTTAATAATTATAATCTGTTTGTATGTAAATAAATAATTTTAATAAATGTATTTCACTAATGGTTTGTTCAGTTTATTTTTTAGAATTTGAAGAAAACTTTTATTGTTTCTTTAAATTAGGGTTTTATTTTAGTTTATGCTATTAATAGCATGGAATCTTTCACTCTTCTGGAACAAATAAAACGAGACATTGATAAAAACAGAGAAAAGAAAGAAGTAAAAATAATTAATCAGTAATATAATTATTAGTTTATGAGAAGTTAATATTTCTTATGTATTTACTGTTTAAATTTTAATAGATTAGCATTGTTGTCTTGGGAAATAAAATTGATTTACAAAGTGAAAGACAAGTAGACCAAAATATTGCTGTTACTTGGGCACAAAAAGAAAAAGGTCTTTATTTTATATCTCTTCAGAATTTTTTAAAATGATATCTTTCATTAACAATATTTTTTAATTTTCTGTAGTGAAATTATTTGAAGTTACAGCAAAAGATAGAAAAACTTTAATTGAACCATTCATTTATATTACATCAAAATTGAATCCTCCTCCAAGTATGTATTATGACTTTAAAAGTTTAGTTTTTGTTTATTTTAATGGATAGTAACAACTGGATTAAAACAGATTTTATCTTTTTTCCTAAATTTGGACATAAATCTTTTATAACTATATATAAATTGAAACTTTAAAAGTTTTGTTATGATAAAAATTATTCAAATTAATTAATTATTGATAAAAAAGAAGTCAGATAAAAATTTAGTGTTAATAAATACTAATTGATAATGTGCTTTTAATAATTCATCATACACTATTACTCTCTTATTCCTGCAAGTTTTATCATCAACATTCATAATGATATAAAATAAAAATTGTAGCTTTAATAATCAATATTTTTAAATTTATCATTTACATAAAACTTTAATGTAAGTATTGTAAGAATGTAAATATTTAATTCATCATCATTAAATTAATACATTTCTTTGTTCATTTTCTATATTTTTTTATGATGATGATGAAAATAAGATATAAATATATTTAATTTTTTTATTAGCATCAATCTGGTATTAATTTCCATCAATATTTGTAAGGGGCTGTCCATAAATTACATAAAGTATTTTGGGGTGGGTGGGGTCAAGGATTTCTTACGATTTCTTACTCAGGGTTAGGGGGGTAATAGATCTCATCTTATGTACTATTCTTATTTTCATTTTTTGATCTTGTTGAGTTAAATCTCTAAGTGGTGATGAGAACCTCCATTCAATTCTAGGAAAATAAGGTCTTGTTATTCTACTAGTTTTACTGCTCAACCATTGTTGATTCCACTTTTTCATAGCATTGTCATGAATATAATTTTTAAAGCTGCTACGTGAAAGAGGGATGCAAGTGTAGTCTGAGTCAGTGTCCTTTGCAGCTGACTTAGCCCTGAAGTTGGCTTTTTCATTTCCTAGTATGCCAGTATGGCCAGGAACAAGTTATCTTATTTACAAGATTTTTAATATTGTGCTGGATATATGTGATTTTATTGCTATTGCAATTGGGATTTAATAAAGCTTTTAGGACAGACTGAGAATCACTGTAAATATTGATAGACAGAGTTTTGTTTGGTAGTGAAGTGGCCCACTGAACAGCTTGGTAGACAGCATCTTCTTCAGCTTGATAGATGAAAGTATATGGGGTATCTGTACCTTCTAACATATTTTGCCAAAACTATGTTAGAAGGTACAGATACCCCCACATACTTCCATCAAGGCTTCCATGGGGCTTCCATGGAGGAAGATACAGATACTTGAGCCGACACAAAGGGGGCTTTTGGACCCATCTGTGTAGATATTAATGTCTGCATGGTTATCCATGCAGGAAGCAGATGACACCATATGTACCCTGAGAATAACCTTGTTTAGGGTGTGATGATCAGAGATAGGGTAATTGCAAGTGATAGCCATAGATAGGAGTAGAGACTGTTGTTGAGCCTTGATGTTTGTAGTTCTGATGTAGTAGTTTAGAACCTTTTCTATAATACATAGTGGCAAAGGAAGGAGCTCTGCTGGTATCAGAGAGGCATTAGTAGAAACAGTTCTGCAACACTTTGAAATTCTGATGGCAAACTGTCTTTGAAGAGAGAATAATTTACTTGCTACTGAATTTTTACTAGTTACATGAACCCAGCTAGAGGCCTAAATCATGCCTAAATATTATGTAAGATAAGGAAGGGGAGGGAGAATCAGAGAAAATATTACGGTTTCTTACGTGAGTGGGGGTCTAGAATGGCCGAAATCACCCTTGCGTAATTTATGGACAGCCCCTAAACAAGATGACATATAAATTGCCCCTTGTGCCCAAAATCTCAGAAATCAGATGACAAATTTCACAGTATAAATATATTCAATATTAGAACAATTCTTTGAAATTTAATTAGTTTTTTCCAATATTTTTGATGCAAATGCATATTACTTGTACATTAATAAAAACTTTTGAATGTTTTTTTTATTCTATATAAATGATTGAATATTACTAAAAAATTAAATCTAGATATTAAATATGAACAAGTTCCTTTTTTTTTATTTTTTATTTAATTAGAATTTTGTGTCTATATGTCCTGGATTACTTACAGTTTAAAACAATAAAACAAAATCAGTGTTAGTTTTTCATGAAATCAAATAGTTCCTAGAAAAGATAAGGTCCAATTAACATTTCAGTTTTAGAATTCAGTTCTAAAATCATGCACATAATATTCAAGTTTATATATATGTGTGTGTGTGTTATGGACCAAGTGCAATGGCTGGGCATTACAAATAATGCCCAGCCATTTTGAATAATGACTAAAATGGCTGTGCAGCCTGATAAATATTGATTAATCTATTAAATTTACCAGACATTATGGATACAGCTACATTCCCTTTGGGTAATTTTTAAAAAATCCAATTGTTTTCATTAAAGAATTATTTATTTTATTTATTTTTTTTGTGGATTATTCAAAGTATTTTAAACATAACATGCAATCTTTTAAAAGTAAGTATTATTAACTGTATTAATTAAACTAATCTTAATGAAATGTATTATTAACAAATTTATACTGTACTTCAATCAAAAAATCAACTTAAAGGAAACTTCTGGAATGTCATTTTTAGGGTAAATTATATAAAAATTAAATGTTTTTTTAGTTTATTTATTTGAGCAATTAAGATTTTGATGACATTTGGAATTACACAACTTTTTCTTTGTAGCATTTGCATCTATTAAATTTACAACCAATTTTGCAGCAACATTGACAATAGCCTTGGGCTCCAGAAATTGATGACTTTCTTGCACATTCTCTAAGCAAAATTTCTGCACCTGGTACATAAACAGAAATGATGTTTTCTTTACAAACAGTAAATTGGTTTCTGGAATATATTAGATTTAATATGCCATATGTGGTACCCAGTTTGTAAAGGTTTTTATCTTCAACCACAATAATGACACCTAAAATATTTTTTCCATCACTGCAGGCTCAATCTACATCTGGTACATGAATCCTTACTATGTCACCAACAGTAGCTGCTGGGATTTGAAATTCAATGTATCAATTATTTTTTCCACTTTCTTTTTAAGATTAGACAAAGCCTTGTTTTAGTGACACTTATTTTTTTCTTCTATTCTTGGATCAACTGTTAGGATTTTCTCTTTGTCATTCACCAACTCTGTGGTACTAATAACATTCTGGTTTCTGGAAATCAGCATGGTTAGATCTTTTTCATGTGGAGACGAGTAGATCTTGGAATTTCATCAGTTGTATTGCTATATGAGGGTGACATTATCAAATAATCTTTTATAATGTTATCTGATCCTCCAGAGTTTGTGCAACTTTGACTTACTTCATCATTGTTAGTTTTAAAAAGACAATTTTCTTCTGTATAACATTGGTCAACAATTTGTTAGGTATAAAATTCTTTAGCCCAACTTTTAATGTTGATCCAAACATGACTTCATAGGAACTGCAGTTTATACCAGTATGATGTACTTGATTTTTCATCAGTTGTACAAAATGCAATCCTTCTGACCATTTGTTAGTGTTAGTCTCCAACCAAGAACTAACCATATTTTCTATGTCTCAATTACATCTTTCTACTGAACCCTGACTTTGCGAGTGCTTGAGCTTACTATACACCAGTTTTAACTCAAGCCACATATTAGAGTTCTTTGATGGCATTATTGGCGAATTCTCTGCTGTTATCGCTTTTTAGAATACTGTCGTTGGATTGTAAAAATGTCTAAAGGAACATAGGCTACATCTTCAGCTCTTTTGGTTTTTAATGGTTATAGTTGAACAAATTTAGTTAGGTGGTCTTAGTACACAAGTATAAATTTATATTGCTCATTGGCTTGTGACTGCATATCTATAAGGTCAACCTGACATCTCAAGTTCATTTCATTACATAAAATTGGTTTAACTACCAAGCCTTTCTTAGAAACATTGCTTTTTCTGATAGATTTCACATAAGTTCAAGTAAAATATGATCATATCTTGTATCTCTTGTAATATTAATATTTTTATATTTTGTACTAATTCTTTTCTCATATGGTTTCTGACACCATGGTCAATAGCAATATGGTCATCATGCAATATCTAAATATTACTTCAGTGTGAACATAATATTTAATCACATTATCTTCTTTTACAGGCACAATTAATTTTTCTATTTCTCTGATAGATATATGAGAATTTACATAGATATGATATAAGAACTTACTGGTAGCTTACAAGTTATTTTGATTTTTGACTCTCACTTTTTGTATCATTGTCAAATTTGGTGATTTTGTAAAAATTTGACTGTTCTGACTTTTTGCTGCTATAAACTTGTTTAATTAGTTGTTGAAGCGATTATTCATATCACTTAATGATTGCTCCATGATCACTACTTTTTTCAAAGAAGAAAACACTATTTTAAGAGGCAAAAGTAAAATTAAAATGTCGCACAAGATTAACTATTGGTTGCATGAATTTAAAATTCAATACTAAATACAATGCACACACACAACTCAGACACAAGTGCTGATAGCGTATGTTAGATGATTACTGTTCAATGTATTATCATCACTTTGCCCTACCTGGTGATAGCAATATTCATAATAACCAGTCAATCTGATAAATTATGATAAAACACCTGAAATTTATTATAGTGCCCAATTATCAGGAACAATTTGAGACCAGGGTTGTACAGATAACTGATCATTTACAAAAAATATATTAAACACAAAACTGTACTGTATATAATTTGTATGACGTCTTACAAATACATACCTTACATAATATTGTACATTAAACTGAGCCTACAGTTTAGGTTGGCAGGGAGGGGGAGAGTGCTACAATGCCCCAGCACTAGCAGAAATTTGAATTACCACTAGTGCTGGGGAGTTGCCGACTTGAACACTTTCGGTTAACTGATGCTCTACTGTACACATCTGTTACAATAAATTATGTTACAAGTGGTAAAACTATATTCATCTTATAAAGCAATATACTTTCTTTTTTTACAGTAATTACACTCATGAATCATATTGTTATTAATAAATAATAAAGTTTGTTAGCACTCTAAAGCTTTGGCTATAAGCTGCAACCTATACAAGATTATACAATAAAGCATCAAAAAATCAGATTAATTTGGCAGGACCTGATCTTGATTTTGATCCCAATCAAATATATGTGTAAATTAGCATTTTAAATAATGTATATTTCAAATACACTGTAATTCAAGTTTAAATGTTATAAGTTCAAGCCAGTATTTTGTGAGGATTGTAGGAATATTTACAAAAATTCTATATATAATTTACAGATTTGTTAAACAAAAAATACACTAATCATAATTTTCAAAACTGAAATACAGTATTATGAATTCTGAATGAATGTTAGAACTTTGGCAACACAAAGCTGAAAGAACATCAATAATAAAGTTACCATTGAAAGGGTTAAATTAATATTCATTTTTAAATGGCCAAATCTGGATTTTTGATGCTTCACAGTATTTGTAAGATTCATTGCATGTGGGCTATGCACGGGCAACTAAATAATGGCATAAAATTTACTCTAGTACATTGCTTATGTAAATCTCACTGTGCTATGTTGTTGTTATTTCTGATGTTCCTTTCTTATTGGTTTTTATTTATTCAGGAGTTATACCAAAAACCATGACTATAGGCCACAGCCTATCCATGAAAAAAAAATTAACATTCCTTTTGAGGTTTATACAAAAGGATGGCCCCATAGCTGAGGTTTTAGGATATTTATTAACCAAATTCTCAACATATAAAAAATTATTTTGTACATGGTTTCTTAGTTTTAATAAGTTGTATGTACATAAGCTGGAGTAGTCTTTTATAAGTTGTCATATTATGCTTATAATCAAATATAATTGTAATTTTTTTAAAATGAAATTTATGTTCCTATGATCCTCCAATATAGAATGCAAACATACTGTAGAAATATTTTACAAAGTCTATCATTTGTAATATTGATAATGTACAATTGATGTTAATTTAATAAAAAAAATTATATTTTTCAGGCAAATCAACATTCCCTCAATTAAGCAGGAAAAATAAACCAGGAAATATCACACTAGAATTATAGATTACACAATGAATTATATTGAAGAAAAGTATTTTGTACAAAAAATTTTACTTTGATTAATGTATATCATATACCCATATAAACTTTTTAAATATAAAAATATACTTGTTTTTTTTCCTTTTGTTTATAAAAAATAATAAACTAAAATTTAAAAAATTATTTTAAGCTGTTTCTTGATAAATATAAGTTATATCATAACATGGGTCAAATTTTGCTGAACAACTTAGTTCAATCAGTGGAATCAGACAATATATAATTTGGAGCTAGATGATGATACTACTACTATCTCAAATTAAATATTACAAAACAAAAAGGCTTATAAATTTGTGTATATATATATATACATTTAGATATGTAATAATAATATCCTATCTGTACATCACTAGCTCTACACAAACTGCCTTCTGATGGTGAGTATGCATTTCTTGGTAATCATGTTCAAATTAAAACTGTTTTTAGAACAATAAATTGAAAAATTAATGATTAATTACTTAACCATTAAAATTTAATTCAATAAAATAAATTATCTTTGATACTAAGGTCCAGCTTGTATATTCATAAAATGATATATTTAGAAAATCAGTTTTGTAAAAATATTTAATTTTACAAAATTAAAACCATAAGAAAAATGTAAAATATATTTGTTAAATAACAGCATTTTCAGTTATAAGTTGATGTGCTTTATGTCATGAAAACAGTTTTATAAATTAAAAGTTTTACGGTTCTACTTTATTTTTCTTTTTTTAAAATTACCTATCAAAAGTCTTGAAAAATGTCTGTGGATTATAAATTTTTTGGGAAATTTTAAAATACTTAAACTAATTGTTAAATTCTAATAAAAAGGTACAATTAAATACTTCTTTATGAATAGGAAGAAATGCTATTTGTATTAAGGGTGTAGCTCATAAGCTTAGATTTTTCAGAGTATGGAAAGCAAGCTACTTTATTTCAGACTGAAATTTACTCTATTATACACCATCTTAGGGAGAATGTGAAGAGGGCTTACATAAATAAGAGTATGTTCATATTCTCTGATAGTCAGGCAGTCATTAAGACAATTAATTTTGCTCAAGTGAAAATTAGGCTGGTGTAAACTGTAAAATTCTTCATAACAAACTGGCCTATGACAACAGTTAATTTAGTATGGATGGCAGGACATGCTGGGATAGAAGGAAATGAGAATGACTTGCTTGAAATGAAATGAAATGAGAATGACCTAAGCAAGTCTATCGTCATTCTCATTTCCTTCTATCCCGAAGTACAGTACATCTTCACTTATGACCAGACCAGTCTTTCTGCAGGTTTGCAGAAAGTACCATTAAAAGTGTATTTAAAGACAGGAGGTTTAAGGAAACTGCTATGGCGTGGAATGAGACCAAAGAACACAATCAATATTGATAGTTAAAAAAACCTAGATGAAATTAACATCCGACTTATTTTAGTTAGGAATCAGATGAGAGTGGTAGTTGATTTCATAACTAGATGCTATAACCTATGAAAACAACTGTACAGAATGGATATTTATAAAAAAAAAAAAAGCCATTGTCAGAGATGTGGTATGATGGATAAAACTATCCACCATATCCTCTTTGAACGCATGGCATCACTTTGCATGAGATATTCAATCTTGCGGCTGAGAGCTGAACTTGAGACTTTACAATGAGAATCACTGAAAAATCTCTTATACTTTGTTAAGGTAGGTGGCTTTTTAAAATTCAAATACTGATATTAATGATTAAGTTAGGCTTTTATAGTCCAATGAATAATGCAGCATTTTGTTTAGCATTAGTAATTAACTTGAGCTGATGTATACATCCTGAATTTCTAATAAATCTTGTAGCAGAAGTCAAATTTCTAAAAATTAATTATTTACCAGTTATAAAATGAAGGAAACAAATTTTGAAATATTTCAATTCCTGGAAGCAAGCATATTTTCAAGAGTAGTGAGTATTTAATCAGAGTGAAAATAGGATTATCAAATCTGTTCAATGAGAAATGTTGATTATAGTATTAAAAATCATGGTCATAAGACAGATGATTTTTAAATAAGGCATAATTATAAATTTGAATTAATAAACACCAATTATATTAATTTTGTGAGATTTTGAATACCCCCCTTATTAATTGAAAATTTATGTCAGATCCATAATTCTAAAAATAATATTTCTGATTTTAAATGGAAAATTTTTAAGTTAAAAACGAAGGAACTTGGTAAAATTCACTTCCTTCTCAACGGAAGTTCTACATCCTTTTTGTTTTCCCTTATCTTCACAAATTTTGAGTCACATACAGTCCAGTTACCCCTCTGTAAACTCCACTCTTCCTAAACATGTGGGAATAATACAATTTTCCCCATTGGTGAAAAACATCAAAAAAGGGGATTCTTTAGTATTATTCGAGGAGTACACCACGAAATTCCACAAGAGAAGGACGTATTCCATACTATCTCCCCATGGCCAATGCCCATAATTAACTCTTGAAGTTCATACTAAATGTGTTTCTAAGTTACTAAGATAAAGAAAATGTTTAATGAAGTGTCGCCATAGAATTAAAAAGGGACAAGAACGAACATTCATATTGAATCTAAAATAGGAAGAATATAAAATAATATATTTTGAGGTAGTATGATTTTAACTGAAATGTGATCTCTCTCCGCGATATCATAATAATATATTGAAAGCCGAATTTGTATATTTTGTTGTTATATTAAATTTTCAATATTTTTATCTTTAAGGAAAGTCTCATTATGTCTGAATCAAAAGACTTCCTCTTCGTACTGATTCGTAAACGCGTGTTAATCCGCATGTGATAAATTTGATTAACTGGTGTCATTATCTTGATGTGGATCTGAATCTCGAAATTTGGATCCCTTTTTAAAAACCACCCTTAAGGCCATCCTTCAACTAGAGACCGGATCTCTCGATCTGTAAACTCCCGAGAACAGATTTCACTTATCTGTGCCGATTAAGTGGTACAAATTCTATGGATCTGTATCCCTGGCTAACTCACAATTTTATAATTCTTATTATAAAATTAGGTGAAAATTTCATAATATATAATATGAGCATTGATAAATAAAGACAATTGTAAACTCAACAGGTATAATAAAATTATTCATTTATTTATTTTGTGATGAAAGATACAAAAATTGGTAATTTATATTTTTTTTATTTTTATATTTCTTGAATTTATTATGTATACTTATCCTTATTTCATTAGAAATTATTATTTTTTGCTTTACATAGTACATAATTTTAAAATATATTTACTGTGTTTCTGTAATCCAAAATTGAATTTTAGATAATAAAAATAAATAATCTTAAAAAAATCCTTAGAACATATGAGAACAATAATGCAAAAGAAAATTACAATTTATGAGTTTATCTTTTTGCCAGTGACTTAAAATCAAAATTTTGTTTCAAAGAAAGTATTTCTAAAATTTCTTGTGTAGCTTGACAAAGTTTATAAAATGAAATTGGCATGTTTAATAATTTTTTTTAATAACCTTCATTTCTTACTTTTGAAACATATGTATATATAAATTAGAGGTAACATTCTACATATGCTATGCTTATAAAGCATATGACATATATAATTGTTATATCTAATATAAATCTTATTAAAAATATATTTCAAATGTGTTTATAAATTATATTTATTTGGGCTGCTCATCTAGATACATATGCAATTCAATCCATTAACATATTTGTTACTATAAGCATGTTAATAAATTGAACTTTAAGTTTATTCAAGACTCCAAACCTGGAATTAACTAAAATAAGATTTTTTTCAAAACATTTCATTTTCTTTACTTTAAAATCTCCAACTTTTTCAAAAAATTCTTTATTAAAATTTATATAAAAGAATTTTATAATGAATATTTTCATCAGCTGCATAAATTTGTTATATTTGAACTGCATAATTTATATCTTTTAACCATTTGTAATAAATATAATTTAACTACTTTTCAGAGAAAAATTGACATTTCCTTTTTTTAAGTAAGAAAAATAAAATCTGGAACAATTACATTAAAATTATAAATTGTACAATAAAATATACTGACACCTTGTACAATAAAAAGTTTACTTCAGTGAATGTATACTGTACAAAAATGAAATATAAATTTTTCTTTTTATATAGAATTATCTGTATCTTTTGCTTTTTCAATGTTTTTTTTGGTCCTCCTCTTCAGTAAATTCACTTGTTTTGGTAATATAAATTTTAAATTTTTTGTCTTTTTTTTCTGTAAAAAAATAACAAAAATTCATTGTTTAATTAATGTTATAAATTTAACAGTATTTTAAAAAAATTTAACTTTAAATATATTGTTTTTCATTTATGTATAAAAAAAGGAAATAAATATATATAAATGAAAACAAATCATTGCATATTTCATTTTTCAACTATTTCCCACTTATCAATTTTAATAATTAAAAGTTTAAACAATAAAACTTTTAATTTAAACTCTTAATTTATAGATTTAGAAACTACATTTTAGCAATTTATTTTCATATCAAATATGAATTATTGAAAATAATTCAAAATAAAATTCAAATACTTGATAATGATAGTCACATAACTGTCATTAGACAAACACATCAAAAACACACCACAAAATATAAGACTTACGCACCATTTTTTGTTTTGTGTTAGAAGTAACTCGACAGTACTTCTTTCACTAATGTTTTCAAACCAACGATTCTTCTTCAGGCGAAAAAACGGACAAAAGAAATGAAATTTGATGGAACTTTTTTTTTTCGAAAGAATTCTGAAATGGAATTCTTTCGAATAGTAATGTAGCAAGCAATGCTTTGTTTATGCAAAAACTGAATTGTCACAAAAAGCACAATATTAATAGATACATATAAATATTACTTTTGAATATAAAATTGATAGTAAAAGTTATTCAAGTAGTTTTTACTTTAATGTTAAGTGTTTAATTAAAGATATAAAATTGTAATTCAATATATATGTTGAAGTGTTAAGTATTGAAAAAAAGTATAGATTGAATACTGATTTTCTAGCATATTTGATTCTACATGTTTGATTACAGAGGTGTTAGAAAGATCACATGACTAAACAGTTATTCAAAATAAATGATACAACAAAATTAGTTAAGAGAATTTTGGAATGTAATATATGATATACAACTTAAAATTTCAATAACTATAAAAAGTTAGTGTTGAAATGTTTTTAGCCGTTAAAATTAAATTTATTTAATGTTAAATATAAATAAATAGAGTAAATGAAACAACTAAAAAGTAAATGTAAGAATTTAGTTTTTTAATTAATTAATAAGTTACCCAACCTTTTTCGATTTAATATCATTCCTGTAAAACCATAATTTTTAAATAAAAATGCTTAAAATTTAATGTAAATTACAATTGATTTAAAAAAGAAACTTTGAAAATATGGAAGTTAAATCAACAAACTACAAAAATTAAAAGACTATTTGAATTATTGTGTAAAAATTTAGTATTGGTCTTTAAGCTGATAAGCCTCAATGTTTATAGAAGCTCCAAAGAGAGGGTACACCATAATATGATAGACACACAACTTTAGTTAAGGTTAGGTTAGGTTAGCAAATTGATGATGATGCAAATTTTGCAATAATTGGTATTTTAGTAAATATCTGCTTCTCCCTTCAGTTGGCTAGCAGTAAAAAGATGAAAGATAAAGAAATTTTTATAAAAGCTTATTTGAAATTCTAAAAAAATATTTAATATTTCTGCAACACATCTGAGGCACTGTGTGCCATGGCACCTGAGTTGGGAAACACTGAATTACATAATAAACTTAAAAATAAATTTTTACCAAATTCAGACACGTCTACTCCACATATCCTCAGATAATGTATCCTTTCAATTTTTGTTACATAACATCGTACGGATGCTTTTCCTTTCCAACCACATAATTCTATTTTAAATTCTTCTTTAGTTCTAAATTTAAACAATGCCATTTAAAATATACCTTTAAAATATTATTTAATATAAAGAAAATGAAGTGAAATATTGATTTCATCTTAATTTAATTATTTTTAATATAAATTATTTGAACAAAAAATTTTGCAATTTACCCTTTGTTGGCTGTATAAATCATGACAGCACATCCAGAGTCTATTTAATAAATAATCAAAAAGTTATCAATATTAATTTTAAACATTTTCACATTATTTGTAAACATTTATTTACCAAGTAATGCTGCTTGTTTCTGTAATTCATCAGAAAATTTTTGTAATAATGGCACTTCTTCTGTTAGTAACAATATTAAATCTTCTAGAGAAATATGTAAAATTCGACCCTCCATAAAAGGAAGTATAATGGGAACACCCTATAAATAATTTTTAATTAACACTTAAATCTATCAATTACTGTAAACATCATACTGTTAAATTGATTAGTAATAAAAGAAACTTATAATTTTAAAAGTAATACTAACTACTTACCTCTTGTGAGAGACGAAAATTACATTTAGCATCTTTGTTATCACTTCGACAAAATACACGAACACCAGTATTTATTATCTGAAAAAAAGAGCACTTTATCAATTATTTAAAATCTAAACTCTGTTTTTCACTTGCAATATTGTAGTTTAGCTTAAATTTAGTTGATAAATATAAAACAATAATAAAAAAAACTAAATTAATTTTAAGTATTTTAAAATATTTTTAAAAATTATTTTCAAAAGTGAAAATAAAAATTTATTAATGAACAATTTTTGCTAGCAAAATAATTATATAATAAATATTTTTCCCACAAAAAAAAATTAAAATCATTTTAATAACAAATGTTAAATGAATATTTTAATATTAATCTCTTCTCCAATAGTAACTAGAAAAAATTATTTCCAAAAACTAAGTAGATAAATATAAGATAAAAGATAAAAAGCATAACTTATTTTTATTAGAAAATATGTAACTGATTTGTTTATAAAGAATTTCAAATGTGTGTTTTGAATACTCAAAATCTTTATTATAATTACTGTATTTTATAATTTAATGTAAACTCAATGGATATTTATAATATAGATCAGTAACAATACTTTGTTTTCTGATGTCAATAAGCATCATGTTTCTCAATTAGTATACGAATAATATTAACATGCATAATAACACATATTTTTCTGTATGTATGTATGTATGTATGTATGTATGCATGCATGTATGTATGCATGCATGCATGCAAGTTAAAATAATATAATGGTTTAGCTAAAATTAGATAAGATATTTAAATAAAGTGGGTACTGCTGTAAATATATTACCAAAATTGCATTTAAAACTAAATTTTTTTAATTCAACTTATATCAAAGATTTTGTCATTTTACAAGATTAGTTAAAATTAAAGTGCTATTATATATATAGTAACACTTTAATCTAAACTGATATTAAATATTAGAAGAAAAAAATAATATAAATTAGTTCAATTCTAATGCTTTTCTAAACAAAAAATATGAGTCAAGTTGATTACATATTAAATTCATGTAAATTATTTAAATTCTGTGAAGAACAGAATTTGTTAGATGTTTTCTCAGAAAAACTTTTATATTCCTTGGACTCACATAATACTCTTCATATTCAATATTGCATGCTTGGCACAGATTCAAATTAAAACTCTGAATCATGAATATGTGATTATCATCCAAAAATATGTATAAACAAATTTGAATATGACAAATGAAAACAATGCATGCAAGTTTTTTCCAATCATTACAAAAACAGATAAAGTTTGGAAAAACTGGCCATTGATCAAATATATTTATAACTAATTACAGCTCATCTTCTGTCTGAACACAAACTAAGAATTACATTGAAGTGCAAGCAAGTCAGTAACATTGTTTCAGCAGGCCATTGGAATGATCTCCTGTTGCTATGGCAGCAGTGATATCACCACTAGCATAAAAAAAAAAGAATTAAGAAAAATTGCATGTGCCTGGGCTAGCAACTTTGGACGGGACACTGTCACTTTGACTCCACTTTATCTTGAAAATGAAATCATGGACTTCCAATTTTTATTACATTTTCAATTTCATCATCTTATTATACATAGTGACAAAGTTTAATCAAAATCAATCAATCAAATTTTGAAACAAACTCAATTCTACAAGTGCTAGTGAAGCCATATAGAAATGGCTTCACTAGCACTCCACTTCAATCAATTTAATATTTTTTGTAAAAACTGTTCCAGTTAACTGTATTATTTCTCTATGAAACCAAAATATATGAATATACTGTAGATTCTTGTTGGCCAAATTGTTCAAACAACTATGAATCTATTGTCATTGGAAAGCTTAAATCATTGAAAGACTTCAACCTTTAATCATTCTTTAACTGTTAAAAGTCAATTTCCATTTTATGATATTATATCATGTATCATATATTATTTGTGCATAATTACATAGAACAAAATTTGTATTATAAAAAATGAGATCATAATATATAACCTACAATTATTTGCAAAGTTATTGCATATGAAGAAAAACTATGTAAAATATAATTAAAAAATATTGTTTTAATTTACAAACTGATTAAATGTACTTTTTTTATTGTGTGTACAAAGCAAAAACTGCATTGTAGATAAGTTAAAATTAGTTATAATATATAAATTTGCAAAAATGTAGTGGATATTTGAGAATATAGTAAATGAAGTTTACTCTGATCTCTCCTCATAATCATATATATAAATTTCCTTGACACTTATTCTTGCTTTCAACTTAAGTTCAGAGGAGAATTCTAAAAATAATTCTGTTAAGAAAGATTATGCTTGCAATATTTTATTTTAAAAAGATATCATTTAATTAGCTTCAATTATAAATACTTAAATATAATTGATTTAAATTTTCACACACCTTTACAAAATCAATATTATTTTGAACAATGTTTTTGGCAGCTTCAGACACAAAATATAAGTTTTTCTTCCTTTCTCCTGCACAACGACTTAAAAGCTGTTTATATGGAAATGAATCCAATTTATAGAAATCCCTGAGGAAAAACAAAATATTTTGTACAATTTGTATATTAAAATATATATACAAATAAACAAAAACATTTTAATTGTTGATCTTCGATTTATTATCTGAAGATTAGATCAGATACATGAACATAGTAAATTTATAATTGAAGAATTTTAAATCACAAAAATTAAATGTATTTTAATTTTTCCTTAAAATAATAATTTATATACACTAGACTCTTGCTAATCTAGCCATTCCTTGCACAAAGAGTGCCAGATTACTAAATATGTATAGACCTAAAGATAATGAATGATGTTACATCTGATTCAAAAATAGAATACATCTACTTCAAAATAAGAAAAACAGTACTGCTTCAAAAAGGAATTAGTACTGAAGGTTGACACCTTCAGTACTAATTCCTTTTTGAAGCAGTACTGTTTTTCTTATTTTGAAATTATATACAGTAATTGTAAATTTAATATACATGTTTAAAAAAACATGAATGGAGGCATATTATATTAGGAGATATAACATATTATAATAGGAGATATGACAGATAATTGAGAGGCTAGATCAGTGGTTCACAAAGAGGGTATTATCACTTCATGGGTGGTGAGTAAATCTAGGGGACGAATAGAAGCAAGGGGGTGGTAGGACTGAATGATAACTGTAGGCAAGAAAAGAAGGGTCACTGACCACCTTTCCTTACCTCTGATAAATCAGGCAAGAAGAAACATTGAATTTAATGGTTTCTAGATGATTACAATAATGTATAGTGAGGACACAAAGTGTGAGGTTCTTAGAAAAGCTTTTCTAAGAATTATTTGAAACCTTTCTCACATAAGGGAAAATGGATTGGGAGTGTTGGGTATAAGTTTATGGAACCAAGGGGACAGTGGCTCTAAAAAGTTTGGGAATCATTGGACCAGATATACTAAGGGCCAGAAAAACAAGTGTGTACTGCAATACTATCATAAAATTAATCACTTAAAATTAACTTCCAACAAATTTCTTTTTGCTAATAAGTCAACAACTTTATTAAAACTGAATGAAAAAATTGAGCAACACAAAATGATCTTTTACATCCAAGACAATAAGTTTCTTGCAATAAAAACTATATCTAATTTAATTTCTATTTCAAATTACAAACCTAATATTTGGCCAAATAATTCCTTCTTCTTTAAAAAATATATAAGGATCTTCTTTATAGCCCCAAATTTTCTTTTTCTTTCTGGGAGGGCTTCTTTAAGAAAAATAATAAAATATTGTATATTGCAATTTATTCCAAAAAATAATTAAATTAAATGAAAAAGTCTTTCCTGCTGTTTCTGTATTTTTTATATATTATTCACAACATAACATCCATTATTTGAATTATTTTTATAATTAAATAAAAATATATTTTTTTGTATTCAAAATAAACATTTTTTAAATATAGAATACATTAAATTAATAGAACAAAAATTCAGTTTATAAAAATTCATAAGTAAATGATTGCATTAGAAATTATTTGTATTAAAAATAAAAAAATGTAAAGTTCTTTGCATTTGATATAAACATATTTTAAAAGTAAGAGTCTGTCCAATTTAAATTTTGTAAATAAAATCATTTATATAGTATAGATGATAAGATTAATTATTTTCATTTTAACATTATTTTAGAAATTAAATTTTGTTTCTAAAATTTTTTGTTGCATTTTTTGCACTTACTGCTAATGAAAAATTTTCCACATATTTGGATATTGTTTTCTGATCTAAAAGAAAAAAGCCCTTTTTTTTTATTGAATTAGAATTAAAGTAGGAGTTGTATAATTGAAAATTTGAAATTACTTAACATATTAACAGTAAATGTTAATTTAATATTAATTCTAAATATTGCTCATGTTTTAAATTTTTTATTTTTCTCTTATTCAATTTATAGTAAAATGTTATGATTAATTAATACAAGAAACAAATTATAAGCTATTGCAGCCTGCAATTATGACTTTATGGAAATAACTGCCTATACAGTAGACCCCCCCTATAACATGGGTTCACATAATGTGGATTCATATATTGCGGCAAAAAAATTGCGATCGTATTCGTATAAAGACGCTAAAAGAGACTCGTGAAATGCGGTAAAACGTCATCGCTGACTCGTGTCGTGACAGGATTGGTCAAATCTAGACCAATAGCGGATATTGCACAAACCGTTGAGTTTAAATGAGCAGCGGAACTACTAAAACCAATTATTATTTAACATCCATAAAAATTATATTTATGTTAATAATGTCTCCAAAGTTCAGCAAATTTCTCGCAGAAAAATAATTTATCAGGAAGTACATGAGCACTATTCAATGCACCACTCCATGACGAAAACAAGCTTAAGCAATGGCGTCATCGAATGGTGCACACTCAGCAAGTAATCCTACAATTTTTTGTTTATAGCATAGTTTATATGGATTATTCCCAAGAAATTATATGTGTTTGGGAAATGTTGAGTCAAATTAGTCTAGAAATGATTAATTTTATGGAAGAAAACCTTTCAAACAGCCACAGTCTGTAAACTTCATACGTGGCGGGCTGTGATTGGCTCATGTATTTAAGGACTCGTAGAACGTAAATTTCATAAAAAGTGGAACATATCTATCGCATTATAGGGGGGTCAACTGTATTTTGTTTTATATATTAATTAATTGTAATATTTTATTAAAAATTAAATTAGAGAAAAATAAAAATTCAAACAAGCATTCATGAACAACATTCAAAATTAAATTGTTGCTGACAATACATACTAAAATGTGCTAGTCTTATTGCAGATCACCAGCATGGATAAAAGATAGAAAATGATATCCTAATCTGTCCTACCCAAAATAACTTATGAGGATTTTAATCAGATTAACATACAGATCCCCCTAATAATAGGTTACTACTTTACTTTTTAGCCATCTGGCTGACCTTTCAAGTTTTGGTTTTGAAAACATATGCAATTTTGTTTTTACATAATTTTGATTTAACAGTCTGGAAATGACATTTAATTTTCTTTTTACAAAATTTATTTTAATTTAATAAATTTCAGTAAATTGACCTTTTTAAAAATGTCTATTTGATTTTATTTCTATGAAAAAGTTTCCATACTTTGTTTTTATAAAAACTGTTCTTTTCTTAAAAAAATTCTTATAATTTGCATTTAAGACTACTAAACATGCTCAAGTATATTTTGGTTTTTATGACTTACTTGAATGTGAAGCAACAATCAATCTTTCATTCTAACTTTAGCTCATGACTGAAGCAATAAAAAAAAAACAACTTAATTTAAGGTTTGATGATTTGTTTGCATTTCATTTAATTTCTTCTAATTTCTTTCAGTATGAAATAATTTTTGCATACCGTTTGGTATTGAGCTAAAGGAATTTTGCTGTTTAATTGAACAAGCCAAATAAAGATAAAATTTGTGCAAATATAAATTTATTAAATTTTACTAATAAATTGCAATCATCCCATCTCTGATTTATTAACTAAATTGAAATTTTTTGTTTAAACATATCCTGTTATATTAATTGCTTTATCTTATTATCCTTATTAGTTTTTAAGGTCTAGAACCAATCTTCCATTTCTCCATACAAATGATATCCTTCTTTACAGATTTTTTGAAAATGCATCTACCATATAAAAACCAAATTGGATGTATATGAAAAATATAATTTAAATAATAAAATTAAATATAAATACATCTGAAAATTGTACTCCATATAATGTTAATTACAATAAATAAGGCAAAGAATTTTATTTTAAATCAATTTTAATACTTTTGTATAATTAATTATATTATTACATTCACTTACTTGTCAGATTCGTCTTTTGTTTCAATTACATCTGTAATAAAAGTGTTTGGTTTCAGAAATCCATAATTATTTCAAATTAATTACAATTAAAAATAAAAAATAATCAACATAAAACAATATGCAAAACTAAAATTTTACAATTTCTGTAATTCCTCTCTTTTTACTTGTTTACCTTTGTTTTTTTAAGAAGTTATTCCTCAACAAAAAACCATGTAAACTGTTACTTCTGGTGTGTATAAAAAAGGATTAAGATAGACTCGAAAATTTGATATTTTTGTAAATAGTCGAAAACTTCAATTATGTAAAATTTTACATGTTAACAAGATAATGCTACTCAGAATTGGAAAATAAATTTTGAAAGCCAATAACAACATATATATGCTATGTAATAATAATATTTTAGTTTAAAAAAATTATTTGAGTAAGAGTTTTCTGTTTTAATGTTTTACTTAGATAATATTTAGATAAGGTTTAAATAATCAATTTTAAGCACAAATATCTTTTAAAATAAATTTTTATATAATAATTACAAAAAATAAAAATTTTATTAAAAAAAAAATTAATTTGAAAAAATTTTTCCAGGACAGAGTTTTTGTAAGATTTTGTTTAAATTTTTACAATAATAAAAAAGTCATTACACTAGAATCTTGCTAATGTGGCCATTCTTTGTACAATGGTGTCATATTAACAAAAGTCAAAAATGCTGGATTGATGTGTGTGTAAGGACAGCATGCTGACATGCAATATTATACATAGAAATGAAAACCAAGTAAACAGGAAAATGGATTGTGTAATATGACTAACATTTTCATGGGAATGGAAGTGCATAGGCAATCAGATGGGAGTATGCCAGGTAATTGAGAATGGATTAGCAAGACTATACTGTATTCTAAGTATCAAAGTGTTTTTAATAAACAATCTTAATTTCTTATCCTCTTCCTATTCTTGTCTTACTAACCAAACATATAAAACAGTTGCATATGCAAATTAATTGTAGCTAAGTAAAGTTTTTAAAAATAGCAATTCTTCAATTAATGTATTTCTTGCATTAATATGGTTTTAGTTGATAACAAGTTCCAAATAACATGAGAAAAATTCAATTAATGTTGCATTATCTTTGAGGATAGTTTCATGTTTTCAAGTAACTAGCATTCAACAAGTAGCTTGAATGACAATGTACACACAGCAAACAGAGTTTTCATCTGGGCAATTAACATAAAACAGTTGATACCACAGCCAAACTAATCCAAATTTTTTGAAATTACCATCTTTTGACAATTGGATATTTCATAATAAACATCACTGATATTTTTATGATAAATAAATTGATATTTTTAATTCATTAGATTAAATAAAAATTAGACTCAGGGCTCTAATTTCAGAATTCTTTTTATTACGCAAAGAGATATGATAATTTAAAAAAATCTAACTTTTAAATTTACTAATTTAGATGATAATTTAATTATTAATATTACAAAAAAAAAAAGTGTTAGCCATAAAGCTATTCAGCAATGGATAATACTTTATTATTATTTAGTTACTTTTTTATTATTTTAGAAACCCGTATTATGAAATTAAATAATTAATTTCAGGATGCTACTGATCATCTGCTATCACACATAGATAAAAAAAGTTAATCATTATGAAAGTCTCAGGATTTAATTCGATTAAATTCAGATTAATTATCTTATTCAACTGCACAGATTATTGCAAATTGAACCTAGATAAATTAGTGAAGAGCATAAAAATATGTACAGAATTATATCAGAAAATAATAAAGAATTATATTAATATATATATCTTGAATTTCAACTAAGATATTAAAATGACTGCAGTAATTGCTTTTGATGTAGTTAATAGTATTATTACTTTTGAAAAAAAAAACAATATGTATAACTTGAAAAAATGTTAAATCAAATCAAATCAATGTTTATAACCGATAAATTTTAGTTAACATATATTTTCAATAAAACTATATAACCAACCACCAAAGATTTTTTAGATTTCAAAATAAAAATAATTGTGAAAAAATTCACTTTTTAACCTAAATATTTTCAAATCTCTCCAATTGTCATGAAAAGCTTTGAACAATCAAGTAACATATTTTTTGAATATTACATTTTAAAGCTAAAAGTTCGGACAAATGTAAAATTGATATTTTGTAAATAAATGTTATTAAATGTGTCCATATGAATCATTCACAAGTACATAAAACAAAATGTAAAATGTAGAAAATGAGTTTTTATTTGGAAAAGCCCAAAAATAAGTATATATTGAACAATCTGTTTCATAATATGGGTATTTCTCAATATATAATTTTTCATGCTATGAAGTTCAAAGAAAAGTGATTAATTTTAAACTGAAGAACACACACATGCTTTCAAAATTAACCATTCAATGTAGAAAATGTCAAAGCTGCAAAATCATTTTAAGAACTCTACAGATTTTTTTATATTTAACACAAGTTTTTGTTATGGCTATAAATTAATTAATAAAAATACCATTCAGATTGGCATTAATAGTAAATCATAAAGTTTTTAAGAATATATTGTGAAAAGACATTAAGTAAATTGAAGGTGATGCCTCTAGTGCAGGGGTCGGCAACCTTTTGAGTCGGAAGAGCCAAAAATTACAATTTACAAAATTTAAAAGTTTTTAAAGAGTCACAAAATTTTTCTTGCCAACAATAAATATTACTTGCATAAATAAAGTTTTTTGATAAAAGAAACTAATCTATTTATTCATAAGAAAAATTGTCTTGTGTCGAAAGCGAATTAAACCTCATAGAAACATCCGACGACGGCGTTATTCGAGAGCTTCCGACGGTGACTGACGACAGTGACGACACGTGTCACGGGGGAGGGGTGCAGTGAAAAGCGAATACAAGTGGCTGAGAGATAGAATCGGCGCCTAATCCTCGTTAATCGATTCAGAATGATTTTTAAATGTTTTTTTTTGATAAAAAAAATAATATTTGCGTATGGAACTAAAGAGCCACAGCTTCACATCCAAAGAGCCACATGTGGCTTGCGAGCCGCAGGTTGCCGACCCCTGCTCTAGTGGAAAGAAAGAGAAGTAAATTTTATCATTTTTTGTAAAAAAAAATTTGTTTTGAGAAGAAATAAATAAAAAGTAAGGGTCAAGACTAGAATCCTAAATCATGTGCTTTTTAGAACTGTGTAAACTGTAAAGATTTGTGCAGTTTATTAGATAGAAAAAAGCATTACAGACATTACAATATATAATGATTACATTTGATAACATTTAATTATTTATTTTTTGTCATCAGAAAACTATTAAGTAATAAACTTGGATACAATGTAAAAAATTTCATCATAAACCTTAACTTATTAACATATAATTTTTATATCAGATATTAAAATTTACTTACCTGACAATTTTTCTTCAATGTCATTATTTTTATGAGAAACTATTTCTTTTATCTGAGATTCCCATGGTAAAAATTCTTTGACTTTTTTAAATACAGCTATAAAAAATCCACCTGTGTTCTGATGATGTGGTAATATGCGAAGACTGTTAGAAAAATATTAATATTTTAAAATATTAAACAAACTTGTAAAATTGATAAATATTTAGAAAAATTTTACCATCTATGCAAATTTAACTTTGAGACAATTTCAGGAGCAGGTGGAAACATTTGTGGACGTATTTGAGTTCGATATTTATCTGGGACATCATCAAAGGAATCAAAAGATTCTAATTCTCTATTCATTACTTTCCAATAACTGAGACCAGGAGATGTCTTTAAGCCAGGTAATGATTCTGATGTATCTACTAACTCAACAGAATCTAAATTCAAAAAATTTAATAAAAATTAAGTTTAAAAAAATGTGCATAATTTTATCAAGCAATATTGATGCCTTAATTGCAATCAATCAATCTATATTTCAGCAAGAGGTCAGTGGGAGCCGAAATGTAGGTTTTGCAAAATGCATGGAAGCCGCAGTTTTGTACTTTTTTTATTTTGTACTGCAGTTCTGTACTGCGATTTTATTATATAATATAAATATTATATAAAACAAATATTGAATTTTTTTAATAAACATATTTTCACAAAATTGTGGAAATAAAATTGTAATAATAAAAATAAAAAGCAGAAATTAACACTTTAAGCAAGAGCCGCATGTAATTCAAAAAGAGCTGCATTTGCCCATGGTGGCTATATTTCAATATTGTTAAATAATGTTTTGATTAAAATAAAGACTTTTTCTCTTACAATTAATCTTTTATCTAGAGGGATCTATAAAGTAAATTGAATAATTCTGTAATTAAATCCTATTTTTAAGCCAACTAAACTTTTTCAGTGAACTATAATCAACTCCATTATTCCACACTGATCAAAGACAAAGCAATTTTTTCAGCATTTTATCTTGTGATAAAATGCTAAAAAGTGTTAGGAGCAAAATATTTTAATTTGATATATATTTTTGGATAAGATAATCCCATCTTCAGATCAATAACAAATGTAAATGAAACAACAGCATAAGTCAAGCATTTTTTAAATTCAAAATAAATTGCAGTTATTTATAACAAAATTTAAAAAGTAATTAAAGCTGGTTTGTCCCAAAGAATGATGGTGTTAACATTCAAGGCTTATTATGATAAACAAGATACATTCACAAAGTTAATCATTAGACATTTGGTAAAAATGCTCCTGAATTTTCTTGTTTAAATATTTAAAAATGAAGTCAATAAAAAAAAATGTTTTTGATTTTAATTAGCTTAAATAAATAAATGCCAGTTTTTTACGAGTATCTTTGATCTTATTCTTATTTGAACATAAAGTTTGCATGATGAAAATCTGGCAGACAAGCTGATTTCAGCATCTTTGGAAAAAGTTTTAAAACAGCTGTTAAATATTCACCTATAATACAATAATAGCATTTGATATGGAGAGAGATACCCTAAACTATATTTTTCTGGACAGAAGTATTTAAATACAAAACAATTACACCATTAATGGCCTTTTTAAGAAAACCATGCTTTAAAACAATGAAAATTATATTATCCAACTGAATATTTCTTTCTCTAGATAATGTGAAACAAGTACTGGAACATTTTATTAAGGTTTGAAAAGCAGTGAACTTATGAGATTTAACTTTATATTAACACAGTAAATATAATATCAAAGCTCATAAGCAATATGCAAATAATAAATATATGAGCAAACATATGGCTTTATGGAAAGCCTTAGAGGAATAGATATCAGTATGCCTGATTTAGGAAGCCAAATATTTTCAATTTCCTAAGAAAAAGTTTTATTTTTATTTTATTATTCTATTCATTACTATTTTGATTTCAAGCTTTTTGTAATTCCTATGCAGATAATTATTGCTAAACAATTCAGTTTTTTCTTTTTCTCTTAGATAAAATTTTCATTTAAACAATCAATGTTTGTATTGAACCTGATTTACTGGAATAAACAAACACAACACAAATTTATAGAAAAAATAAAAACAAAATCCTTTCCAAAAATGTTATTATTGATTTATTGAATTATTTTTAAATACATTAGCTATTACTTTATCATTGCAGATTTTAGTTTTAAACATCATCAAACATTATACATATATATTAAGATGAAATTGCTGACAATTTCATCTTAACTTCTAATATAGCTCTGTGGCTTAAAAATTTATATAGTGTGAGATCCGCCGGGACGTGGAACTAAATTCACACCGCTTACTGGCCTATTCCGTGAGAATAGTCTTGGTCGTCAACAAGAATGGTTTTCATATTTAATAGGAAATCGAGTGGCGGAGGGTCTTATGGTTAAGTTAGAATTTAGGGCGGAAGTTGGTGATGGCGAATTCACCTTCTTCCTTATGTCAGGGTCCCGACACCAGTTTGTCAATTAAATTCCGCGGACAAACACACGTGTGAGATCTGATTCAGACACAAATTAAGAGTCATTTCATTTGATAAACAAACAATAGTAAATTTAATAAAGCATAAGAAAATAAAAACTAATACAAAATATCAAATGAAGGAATGATATAACTACTACAATTAAGATACACATCGAGAGATATATGACCCTATTATAACCGATACAAGATAGAGAGAGAGATTACAATATCGTTATAAAACATACAACCTGGTTTAGTTGTTGTTCGTCTTCTTCTCTGTAGGCAAAGGCACTTCGTTTATAAAGTTCTCAACCTTCATTCCATGGGAGATCGATATGTGCACAAAATCAAAGTATATCTTCTCAGCGCTAACTCTGGAATTATTCTATGTGACTCGTCTAAGGACCATCAGGAGAAATATGTGTGGAGTCCTGACTCCTCCAGGTCTGTCGATGAACTCGTCGAATTCTGATAAATTTCCTCTATATGTGACGATCGGCGACCAATCATCATGCAAAGATTCCTCCGTGAGAACAGATGGAAAGGGGAATATGTGAGGGGTAAACATTTCCCATCAAAGCGAGGTTTTTCGCAGATAAGGGAAAAACAGAGAATGTTCTAACTTCCCTAGAAGGAAGTAGCATCTGTTATCTATTTTTCCCACTCTAAAACGTTATTTTTTTCACCCAAACGAAAGAATATTTTATAACCAAATATTAACATTATTAATAAAATTACTATTTTAGACCCGGGGCCTTTCAGATCTCACACT